TACACACACACACACACACACACACACACACACACACACACACATATATAGCATTCCACATGGCTATATTAACAAATGCAATTTGAATATTTTTTTCTATAATTAAACAGTCATGACAGATTCAGTTCTATTTACATAAATAGGTGCATATATAACTGTGTATTAAATTTAACAAGGTTTTGTATAGAGTAATACGAAGTTACATTTCAACAGTTACACACACGAAAAAGCTAAGACAGTAGTATTCATCTTGAAAGAAGCTTTTAGTAGCCACATTTCTTTCTCTTTGTTGTAAAGTACTTGTAAAGCCAAGTATTACAAATTATGTTATACTTGTAAAGCCAAGTATTACAAATTATGTTATACTTGTAAAGCCAAGTATTACAAATTATGTTATACTTGTAAAGCCAAGTATTACAAATTGTTATATTATCCTTATAAAGCCAAGTATTACAAATTGTTATGTTATCCTTATAAAGCCAAGTATTACAAATTGTTATGTTATCCTTATAAAGCCAAATATTACAAATTGTTATGTTATCCTTATAAAACCAAGTATTACAAATTGTTATGTTATCCTTATAAAGCCAAATATTACAAATTGTTATGTTATCCTTATAAAGCCAAATATTACAAATTATTACGCTATCTTTGTGAAACCAAATATTACAATATAGTGAAAGTAGCTGGTTTCACTTGGGTTATTAAATTGATTTATTTCAGATGACTATATCAGTGTGTGTGTATACTGAACTCATTTTAGCATAAAAGTATAACCTATATACTTTTGTTGCTTCATTATGGGATGTAGCCTGTTTATAAAGGTAACCTTCCCCCAGTCTTGTCCTCCGATTTTAAACTTAAATAATAAAAAACAAACCTCTTTAATTAATGGAGCACCAAAATTAGAAAACAACAAATTTTTTTTTTAGTTTTATAATTTATACATTTCATTTTGTACTTTCAGCACATAGCCTCTTAACAACAATATTAGGTTATATTTTTATTGCTTAGCAACATAATGTAAAAGTCACTGTTGGAACACATTGTTACCAAAATGCACTGGCTTTTCAAAATGTTTGAAGTTATTATATAAGGAACCACTTCTTTTCTATGTGTTTTTTCGCTAGCTTGCCTCATTAAAAAAGGTGCATGCATGCACATGGATAAGTAATAATACCCAGGTGCACACCCTCAGGGTCAACTGAGTGTGGGTGCAAAGCTTTAGGTTTCTAGGTTCTTTCCTCTTGGAGTTATGGCAGTCGCACACAGACCTATAGACATGCTCTTTTATTATTATTATTATAGATTATTATGTTATCCTTATAAAGCTATAAATATTACAAATTGATGTGCTGATCAGTGTGTTCTTTTTAGTTACTTTTATGGAGAGAAAAGATGGCAAATGCTTGATTCTTATTTTGTTTTGGTCCATTTTGTGAGTTTCATTAATTTTGGGAAATACTTCGTAATGACCCCAAATTAAGAGAAGAATGTTGGGCCATTATGCGTGTGATAGACTTATTTCATGCTCATACTAATGGCACTACATATCTTCTAAGTACATGTAATGTATTTTGTACAACTGTTTGGACATAATAGTCTAAATGTTATTGACCTGAGGTCAAGGAATATATATACATGTAACATGTGATATTAATTATGAAGAATTATAAACATAATATGAAATTTTTTTAGTACATACGTGTTATCTACATTGTGCAAACTATATGTCTGTCTATGATGTGCTGTACATAAGCTAAAATATGCTCACTGTTAAATCTTTAATAGCTATTGTGAACTACATTTTGAATGTATGAGTCATAACATTTCTAATTTTTGTACAATAACTCTTAAACAACAAAGCACACTATTTTCACTTATTAATAACTCTTGTTCCTTTTGTTTTTTGCATTTGTATTGGATAGCAGTGCTGTAGATTCTCTATTAAAATTTAATTTGAAAGTTACATCAAGGTTAACTGAAAAATAAGATTAAGTACTTTCTGTTTCAAGCTGCTCAGAGTTTTGGACGTAAGCAAGGTAATAGTTATGTGAATGCCATATTGACTTGGATATTGCAGTGTTTAACACATGTATGATATTTATGACTGGTATTGTTAGTCTACTTTTATATGAAAAGTATGATTTTTGTTAGATTGATTTGAATAACATATCTCTGGTGTTATTGGGCTTTTATTCAAAAGTAATTGTTGTAAGATTAGGCTACTTTTATTGTAAAAATATGACTGGTATTATTGGACTTTTATTAAAAAAAATAGTTGTAAGATTAGGTTACTTTTATTGTAACAATATGACTGGTATTGTTGGACTTTTATTTAAAAGTAATAGTTGTAAGATTAGGTTACTTTTATTGTAACAATATCACTGGTATTGTTGGACTTTTATTTAAAAATAATAGTTGTAAGATTAGGCTACTTTTATGGCTGCCTGTTGGGCTGTTTTTTGAGTAGCAGTATGTCTGATATTGTTAATTTGATGATTTTAACCTTAATTCATGTGATAATCTGACTTTATGATAGGGAATTCTATGTTACAATGACTTTAACTTGGTTAGGCTACTTTTATTGTAACAATATGACTGGTATTGTTAGGCTGTATTTAGATATAATAGTCACAGTAGAGTTTGCATTGGCTGTTTTTTTTTCTTTTCTTGTAGTAACAGTATGATCTATTTTGAGACAACTTTCTGTAACATTTTGTCCGTGTTTGGCTTACTTTATTATAACAATTTTACTTTGGTGTTGGACTACATTTATACAATTAGGCCTTCTGTTGGACTAATATTTGTGTAATAATACAGCTGGTGTTGTTGAGATATTTTTATGTGACAATACTATTAGTAATATGAACTGCTTTCATGACCTATTCTGACTTTATCATTATTGTATTAACATTAATATTGTTGTAATATTTTAATTAAGGGCTAATGTAAGGCTAAAATTGACCTAATATGTAACTCTTCAGATGAGCGAAAGAAGTGTAGTTTGTTCTGGTTTTCTCAGTTAATGAAGATAAAATGTCTTGTGGACTTTTGAAACTTAGAGAGAGAGAGAAACTATAAAACATGTTACAAACACATATTTCAGAAACACAGCTTACTTCTGTGCATCACAAAGAGCTGTCACCTCATGTGCACTACTCTGTAATTTCCTGCACATGCTGCGAGCCTTGAACAAAGCTCTTACCCATGTACATGCTAATGCATATTGTGCCATCCTATGAGGTAGTGATCATTAGACTATAGCCTTTTACCAGTAGGAGGGTGACCCATCTGTCTGCCATGTGCAGTAATCCCCACGAGTATTAGCATATGAAAATAGGTTCATTCTTTTCTCAACACTGCTAGTGTTCAGATCTTTTTTTTTATGTGCTTTTTCCTAATTTTGTGGGATTGACATTTGTCTATTACTTTTTTTCATTGTCTTACTCATTTAGTTTGTCATAGTTCTTTTTTTTTTTGTTAAACTATGAGTACTTTCATCTACTTAACCGCCTTACAAAAAACAACAACCATTTTTGACCATGAATTCTTAGATCAACGTTTCTGCTTCATCTTAAGATTCTGACATTCCACTTCAGGATTCTGCTCCTGCTGTTTAAATGGCAACTGATGCACTTTATCAACAATGTTATCACATTGTACATCCGATTGTTGGCAGTCTTCTGCCTCATACCTATCTCCTTCAGGTCCTTCATTGTTCTGTTTCTTTTGCTTCTGCTGAGCCTGCCTCATCTAATCACAACTTTGGCCTGTTCTTCCCTTTGCATGCCTTTGCTTCTGGCTCTTCTCTTCCAGATGAAAAACGGGTATCTCCACCTTCTTTCTTTGCAATTCTGATTATTCAGGTATGTAACATTCTATCTGTTTCTCTAGTAGTGTTTGATGTGTCTTAGATTGATTCATTACAGGAGCCTCCATCTTCTGGATTTCTTTTTATCTCCCTCCCCACCTCATATAAAGTGCTAAGACCATCTGTGCACTACTCATTGCCTGCTGTTTAAATGGAATTTTCTGCAAGATTGCTTCGACGAAAAAAAAAGAATAAAAAAAAAACACCAGGCCTGTTCTCATATCTGTTGTCTTTGATTGTGGTAACCCATTGAACTGTCTCTCACTGGGAACATAATTTCAGATGATTGTGCCTGATGAAAATAGACCAGTGTTCCCTGCCCACATGAATGATCTCCCTCCCCCTATTTCTTCTGTTAGAGTATTGGAGAACCCTTGCTTCCCCAATTTCAAGCCTCTGTGGAAGTTGATATGGAAAGTTCCACATTCCGATGTACTGGTACAATACCAAATGGATGCATCACTCACTTGGGAAGTAGAGCTGGGGTATTACCTGGTAGTGAAGTACAGGACACCCCATTACATTATGAACCAAGTCATTCCCAGTGGTTACGTCCACCCAGATGGTTTTGGGCTCTCCTAAGTACACAGATGTGGGATGCTACTCCCTGCATTTGATTTTGTGGTATCTCGTGTAAGTATTTCTCCAATATGGAACAGCTTGACATATAGCCTTAGCTACACCACATACTCCTACACAGTTGTCCGCCTGTGAGATAATGAACGGTTAAGCAATCTGCCATTTTACCCACCTCAACTTCATGTTAGCACCCACCAAAAGATTCTTATAACAATATCTTTTGCTCTGCTATCTCTTTTGGGTGAAGAGTGTTCCCCGCTTGACAAGGGTGCAGTCTTTCACCGAGTGCTCTCCACTAAGTAACCCTCCCTGCCTCGTGGATGTTACACTATTTTGGACTTTTCCTTTCTGAAGTTGTTTTCACAAAGGAGCTCGTATATGTAATTTATTTGCACTGACCCTTCCATCATCTTCAGTTGTGATTCTAGATTTTTGTGATGCAGAGAGGTGAGTAGTGTTTCTGATGTTAACATTTTCCTTACTTGAAAATATATTTCAGATAGATACTGATCTCTATGCACCACCTCGCAATCTTCCTCCTCAAATCGTTGCATTTAGTTTGCCATTTTTGCCATGCTAGTACTCATGAGGATAACTACACATGGATGATGTGATGCCCTCCTATTGGTGGAGGGCTGTAGTCTAATCTAATGATAGACGGGTAGGAGACGTACAGGAAATTACGTGGCAGTGTGCATGATGTAACAGCTCATTGTGATGCAGAGAGGTGAATATCTATCTGAAATATATTTTCAGATAAGGAAAATGTTCATTTTTGTAATGATAATAAGTTTAGCAATTATTAATAATAAAAGAACACAATGTCGTGTACAGAAATTAGTGAAAAAAACAAAGTAAATGGAGGACACACTAATGTGTCGTAACTAGTTTCCCTGATATCAGACTTCTGACAGTTTGTTCCATTTACTGTGGTTTTTTTCATATATGTAAAGTATGTTCTTTAAACATGTGATCTGAGTAGTGAAATTCAGCTTTTGACATGCTTTGTATCATTTAATTTTTCTTTTTCATTAGAGTACTTTGAAGCTGCTTTTCTCCAAAAGCTCGGTGTGTTGTTAGCTATTGTTTGAAATTGATAGTTAAACCTATTATAAATATACAGATTTCAAACGACGTATGAAGTGCTTATCATTTTAGCTGCACATCAATTGCTTTTCTTCCATGTTTCTCCAGAACACTTTGCTTCTCATTTGGTGATCTTTACATATACATATTTATGTTTCATGATTAGTTTTATAATTTATGAAACAAATATGAGAAAGTATTTGTTAGCCCTAAAATTACTAATGGGATCCAATGTTTTTTCCAACACATTTTTCTAAATAATTTATGCACTAAATTGCTTGTGGGTCGATAATTTTCTTGGTTACGTGCGAGTCACACCGAGTCACACAGAAGAAATTAAAAGCACCATCAATAATCCAATTAAGCACTCTGTCTATTTTACATAGAAAGGTTGTGATTTTACTCGGTTGTTTTCATTAGTACTTTACGTTGATTTTGACTTTCGACTTACTTACGGTGATGTAATATGTGGACGTTTCTGTTTGTGAACAATTTAAAAATTAATAATTAGAAGGTTAAATATTAATTAGTTTCAGTAAATGGGTTCAGTGAAAATTGCTGTCAATTTGATTTTTGAAATGTAAATAATCTAAAAAAATGATCAAACTAGTGAAAAATGTATGCAGATATTGGGATTTCAGAGAGAATTGTGGGAAGGAATGTAATGTTAGAATTTAATGATTACAGTATGAAGTCGTACATTGTAGAGGCTACAACTGTGCTTGTATATGATTTTCATACAATACATTTTGAACATCTGCTTATAGATACTGTGTGCCAGTTGAGTGTACATGTATACTGCCATAGAATTTAATGCACCATCAAGATTGTTTACCAGTGCTGTTATGCTATACTTTCTTCTTTCAGTCAAACCAGCATACTTCCAGGAAGAGAACCATGTGCTAGTTGACAGACAATTAGAACAGCTGGCTCCAGTGGGTCCTACATCCATGTTCCACCAGAAGTTTGATAGGATAGATGAAAGTTTAGGCCGTTATTCTCGTAAAGTTTTTGTCGGAGGCCTTCCTCCAGATATTGATGAAGGTACACTTAGAATGACATTTTTGTTAATAAATATGCTACAAAATTTTGCTGGGATTATTCAATGTGTGACTTTTCGATCTAGGGTATAAGACGTTTATATTTAATACAAAAGATAGCTTAACAGTATTTTAAATTGTACCACCTGGGAATGTCTTAGTTAAGTATTGTATTAATGATGAACCATACTACATCTGATAGTATGTATGAATTATGAAATTGTACAAAAAAAATGTCTGTAGTTTTGGAACATTTGTATTATTTGGGCAAACATTACAGAAGTTTGTTAACATATTTACATTTCTTAGGTAAAGGTTAGTTGTTTGTTAACATATTTACATTTCTTAGGTAAAGGTTACAGTTGTTTGTTAACATATTTACATTTCTTAGGTAAAGGTTACAGTTGTTTGTTAACATATTGTTACATCTCCGTTTGTTAATTTATTTTCCGTAACTTCGTTCCCACAAAACATTAGCGACACAAGTCCTTTCTTAATAAAACTGGTTTATTCTTTCCAAATATAACTTTACCGATACACTTATTTTCAACAGTCGCTCAATAACAAATGCTATAACAACAAACTTCAACAATACTTCTGACTGCAGTTCAATTACTCACTACCTACACACATTCTCTCGTCACGTTGTCATCATTTTATATATATAAACCAGACTACCCTATATCTAGTAATCTCCCGACAATTCCCGAAGGTTCGAGAGAACGAGTGGCGTGACACTAGTCACGTGATCTCGCTGACGCAACACTGCCCCCTCCTTAGTATTGTTCTTCCCGAACAATAGCCACTTACAATAAACCAATAACAATTAACAATAACTTAATTAAATGTTCAGAATTACAATCACAAAATTACAATTCAACAAAGTCTCTTAATTTTACGGGACGTATCTTCGTACTGGTCTCTGTATCGTTGGCTTC